AAATAAGTATGAAAATCCAGTTATCTTTTCTTAATCTAAAAAAGAAACACCCAATTCTTTCCCAAAAACGATTTTCGGGGGCTGGAGAGATGGTTCAGAGATTAAGAGCACTGATTCCTCTTCCAGGGATCCTGAGTTCAATTCCCAGCAACCACATGGTGGCTCACAGCCATCGGTTATAAGATCTGGTACCCTCTTCTGGTGTGCAGATATACATGGAAACAGAAAGTTTTATACACAGTAAATAAATAAAATCTCTAAAAAAAAAAAGATTTTCATTTAAAAACATTCATTTATATTAACCATAACATGCCAATAATGGACCTATCAATTTTTCCAAATGAAGTAAATTTCAGTTTCTATAATATGGTAAATTTGAGATATACCTCCTACATTACAAAAAAATCAACACCATGTATAGTGGAACAAGCCTGTAATTCCAGCACTTGAGAGGCAGAAGCAGGTGGAATAAAGGCAAGCCTGGTCTACATATCAAGTTCCATATGGCTAGGGGTACATAATGAGACCTGTCTCAAAAAAAAAAACAAAGATCATCATCATGGTCTAGGGATACAAATCCGTGATAAACATAACTCCCTAGGTACAATCTCTACTATACATGTATACACACATACACACATACACACATACACACATACACACATACACACATACACACACACACACACACACACGGTAAATGTAGTTAAGACCGCATGGCCTAAGCTTCAGAAAATTCAAAGAGCTTTCTGAAATGTGTAAGAAATCAAAATGCAAAAAAAAGCCTGTCCAGGACATCCAGGCTTCTAAAGGACAAGGTTCTTTGTATTTCAGGGCCCAAGAGAAATTAGCATTGTCAGTTCCCAGGTCTCACAGAAAAGGTGAAAAGTTCAGGGTGGTGGAGATTAAAAAAAAAACAAAACATCTTTCTCTGTACTTCACTGGCAGATCAGAGCATCTGATCCCAAACTAAAATCCAGGGAGCTAATGATCAAACTATTCCAAGGCCATAGAGTCTGGTGGGGAAATTAAACCCAACTCCAGATCCTAAGTATGGAATACATCCTGTAACTTTCCTAATAGTGATGGGTTTCCATCCACACATATCCATGGTTTTCCACACTTGTCTTCCTTTCCCATGCTCACCTTGCTTGGCACACAGTAAACACAGTAGGGACACTGCAATCTTCATTGCCACTCTCCCAAGCAACCCTCTTTAATTCCCCAACTACAGCCAGCTCCTACACTCCTGAAGAGCTCTAGACCTACAAAATGGCTTCCTGGGCCCTTCTTGGATGTGTTGTGAACGAATCTGCTCCCAGTGTAACTCTAATCTTGCCCTTCACAGCTGTGGCTCTTAGTAGCTCTTAACAGTTTTCTGACCCATGTGGTCACTAAAGTTGGAAACCTTGATCACTCCACTCTAATCCTTGCCCAACTTTCTGCATCATTCTGCCACCAGATCGTCCATTCTGCCAGATTTAGTATCTTTCTAAACTGCATTCCCACAGTACCAACCAGAAAAATCTTCACTATCTCAGAACTGTTACTTTCTCACTGGCTCCTTATGAGAGACCAGGAGCTAGACAGACTCCTTGGTAGGCAGAAAGATGGCCAATTTCTAAGATGGCAGCTTCTTCAACTTCCAGCCTTGAGGGAAAAAAAAGCTGCCATGGCCCCTGCTGACAGACTGGCTCAACAAGTTGGCAGGCCTGATTTGGACATGTCACACAACTGTTGTGGACTAACCAACCATCCTGTCTTCAACTGACCAATCCTAAAATAGGGATGACTCTTCAGGGGCTTTAAAATCAAGGAGACTGAATTTTTTACTCTGTTTTGCAGAGTTTTTTTTCGATGTGTGTGTGTGCATGCTTCCTCACCCCGATAAACAACTTCCTTTAACTGACAATCTTTTTTTGGTGCTTGAGATTCCTATGCTTCTACCTGTTTCACTTCAGATTTTTCCTGCCTTTTAATTCTTTACCTGGGAGAGAAAACGAACGATCCCTAAACTATATCATTTCTAGACTGTATCACTTAGCTCTAGTCTGAAATCCTTAGTCAACCTACCCACCAGCCTTCTGTACTCTTAGACACAAACATAATGTTATTTTCCTTTTTATTTTTACATAGAATATACTTATGATTTTGTTTGTTTGTTTGTTTGTTTTTCAAGACAGGGTTTCTCTGTGTAGCTTTGTACACCGGGCTGGCCTCGAACTCACAGAGATCCCCCTGCCTCTGCCTCCCAAGTGCTAGGACTAAAGGTGTGCACCACCACCACCCAGCAGAAAATACTTATGATTTTACTCGTTTCTTCCCATAAGCATTTTTTAAATTGTGTATTCCAAGCTAGACCCAGTAACTCACACCCAAAATTACAACACTAGAGTTCAAGATCACCCTGAACTATATATACAGTGAATTCAAGGCCAGTCTGGGCTATTTAGAAAAAGAAAAAGAAAAAGAAAAAGAAAAAAAAAAAAAAAAAAAAAAAAAAAAAAGAAATCACAGTGAGGTGGTGGTGGTACACGCCTTTAATCTTAGCACTTCAGAGGCAGAGGCAGGTGGATCTCCTGATTCAAGGCTAGCCTGGTCTACAAAGCAAGTTCCAAGATAGCCAGGGCTACAGAGAAACTCTGTCTTGAAAAAAAAAAAAAAACCCCAATGGGTAGGGAGAGGGAGACAGGAGAAAGAGGAAGGGAGAAGAAGAGGGGGGAGGAGAACATGAGGGATCAGGAAGATTGAGTGGGGAGAGGAATAGAGGAGAGAAAGAAAAGAGACATCAATAGAGGGAGACACTATAGGTTTAAAGAGAAATCTGGCACCAGGGAATTGTACAGAGATCCACAAGGATGACCCCAACTAGGAACCTAAGCAATAGTGGAGAGTCTACCTTAAATGGTCCCCTATAATGAGAATGATGACTACTTTAAATGCCATCCTAGAGCCTCCATCCAGTAGCTGATGAGGGCAGAGGCAGGGATCCACAACCAAGCACTGAGCCAAACCTGGAATCCAGTTTCAGAGAGGGAGGAATTACAAACAAAGGGGTCAAGACCATGCTGGGGAAACCCAGAAAATACCTGACCTGAACAAGTAGGAACTCATGGACCCCAGTCTGACAGCTGGGGAACCAACATAGGACCAAACCAGGCCCTCTGAACATGGGAGTCAGCTAGCAGCACTGGGCAGTCTATGGGGCCTTTGGGAGTGGAACCAGGATGTATCCTTAATGCACGAACGAACTTCAGGAGCCCGTTTCCCACGGAGGGATACTCTCTTAGCCTAAATACACAGGAGAGGGTCTAGGTCCTGCCCCAAATGACTTGACAGATTTTTTTTTTGATGATCCCTCATAGAAGGCCTCACCGTTCCTGGGGAGTGGATGGGGGATGAAATGGGGGGAGGGGGGTAGGAGAGGATGGGAGGGAGAGGGAACTGGGATTTATATGTAAAATGAGATTGTTTCTAATTTAAGTAAATTTAAAAAAAAAGAAAAGAAAAAACGGATGGCTGAAAGGATAAAATAAGAAAGAAAAGGTCTAGTCACATTTAACTGCTGTATTCTTCTGAATTCAGAATACCCACAAAAAGAACAATGAGCCCTGCCATCAGTGTGTACTAGGAAAAGACAGGAAGGAATTTATGGTTTAGAAGGTAGCTTAACCAACATCTCCAGAGTATTCCTAGTTTGGCATTTAAGGAGTTTTTTTTTCTTTCTCATACAAATTTGCAATATGTGAAAGATACATCCCTCCCATTCCTTTTAGGACTTTCTTAGAAACTGCAAGTCAGGAAATGGATTCACTTAAGTTTATATGTAAAGTCTCGGGCCCTAAAAACCCCAGCTCAAAAACCACCACTCTGGAGGATACAGCTCTAATCTAGCAAGACACCCCAAACCATTTGTGACCCCTACTGACGTTCCTCGGGCCATCTGTCACAGAATGGCCCCCAACAAACACAACTCTGGGCTGTTCTTTTCAGGCCTTACTGTATCCTTTCTAAAGCTACTTTGTAACTTGAATGTCTTCCCACCTCTTCATTGCCACAGAACATTCGATAACTTCTAAGGCCAGGCTTAGAGTCCAATCAGTAAGTAACCAGTAATGTTCCCGGCAACAAAGGGGAAAGTTTTATGCAAATAATCCTGGTACTTAATTGCAACAAAAGAAAGCATGGAATCAGAAGGTATCTTCTCTCAAAGGGTCCTCCAGATTACTGCAGATTGGCCAAATAAACAGGCGCTGAAATTAAGTAAGAGATTTGGAATATCCAACATAACTCCCTAACGAATGGGTTTCAAATAAGGATTAAGATTCAGAACTGGTAAAGACTGGAGGTGGGGTGACGTACTTCTCCAAACAAGTCTCGGTTAAACGCTCCATTTCTATCACAGCACATACCACAGTATGGCAAATACTTACTTGATTAAAAATTCCCCGTTTCGTAAACTCCTGAAAACATGTTTGTCTTGCTCGACAATGTACCCTCCCTAGGAAAATTTCCTAGTGGCTTTGCTCATTACCTATTTGTCGATGTTTATAAAAACTGTTTGTAAATGATTAAATGAAGAAATGGCTGGATAAATGAGTAAATTACATAGGATCACAGCTCCTGCTTGGACTCTAGGGAAATGTTTATGGAAGTAACTCTCAAAGTGGGGTCGAGGAAAAGCAGGCCTTGAGAAGAGCCTGGGCTCCAAACCCAAGCCAGAATTTAAACAGCAGCGCGGCGGGAAAGAGGACGCTGGAGCCAGGACCAAGTAGGCTGCGGGGCTCGGGCCGCCCGAGAAGCCAACTAAGTTCTCCCCGCGTGGCGGCTGACGAAGAGGGCTCGGGAGCGGGCCGGGGAGGAGGCCGCGGTCCCGGCCTCACTGGAGAATGACGAAGTGGCGAACCGGAAGCGGGGCTAGGGGCCGTGCCAAAGGCCGGGGCCGAGGCAAGAGGGAGCGGTCGGCCTGGGTCGGGGTCCAGCTCCGCGGCCACACTCACCTAGGGTACCCTGCTTCACCTCGGCTAGGCTCCGGCTCCGCGCTGCTTCCTCGCTGCGCCTGCTGGGCGACTGCGCGCACCCCTGAAGGGCAGACCTTAGGACAGGAAGGGGAGGGCGGGGGCGGGCACCAGGCAGGCGCGCCGAATCCGAGCGCTTTTGCTGCCTAGAGAATGGGGGACGGGGCAGAGGTGGGGTGGGGGAGGTTTTTTAAAAAGAAGTGCAAGGGATTTGCGCATGCGCAGGCACTCTGGAACTCTGCGAGCGGAATTCTGGGAGCTGTAGTCCTTCATTTAAAGGCTCCGTTCTGGGAATACGCGACTCAATTCATTCTACTTAACTACTATGGACTCTCTTTGACCATGCGGCGCCCAGACTCTATTAAAGAATTTCCATTAAAATTAAATGAGTTGAAGACAGATAAGAAGAGATAGCACAAGCCACTTTGACTTCACCTTTCTCTAAATTCAACCATGTAGAGGGACTAAGCGGGACCAAACTACAACTACCTGTTCTATGGGATTCCAGTAAGAACTTTAAGAATGTGTGAGTCCCTTCATTATCTCGCCACACAACAGATCTGCCGCCTGTTTCAGATGTCGCTGGACCTATTGAATTTTGAGAACTACAGAGAGTTGGAGGGCAAAAGGATCTTTCTCAGGCAGCAAGCTACAGAAATTTAGAGAATAATCAACAAGACTAACCTGATTGAAAACAATTCAGACCACAGCAAGGATGCTCAACAAAATATGTAGACAACGATCACTGGTAATGTTAAACTATTAAAGGATTACTTACCAGAAAATCTAGGGCCATCGTCCGGTTTGTCTCCAGATGTGATTTGTATTACACAGCAGTACTTATGAAGTACAGGGTATTTTATAAAACGTTAAATTTTAACAGAATTTTAAAAACTGAATCTGAATCTAATCAAGCATTGGCTCTAACTTCCAGTATACAGGATATGAAGGAAAACAATTAAATGTTGTCAAATAAATACAGAATTTGAACCAATATGCAGTGTGAATGAACTTTCTTCAACAAAGTGGAAGAGCTGGAGCTAAAGAAAACAAAAAACCTCGTGGTTAAGAGCACACCCATGTTGTATGGTGCACAACTGCTGTGACTCCAACTCCATGCGATCTGACTCCCTCCTCTGACAGCTGAGGGCACCTGCAACCACTTGGACATAACCACCTTGCCCCCTCCCACACACACACACACAGAGGAAGAGAGAGGGAGAGAGATTTTTGGTTTTGAGACAGGATTTCTCTGTGGATTTGGAGCCTGTCCTGGAACTCACAGAGATCCCCTTGTCTTTTGCCTCCTGAGTCCTGGAATTAAAGGCATGTGCCACCACTGCCAGGCTAAATATCTTTTAAGAAAGGAGAGAGTGTTTTAGATGATAATATGTAAGAGATCAGGTCAGCTAGATGTCTCAGCAGATGAAGGTGCTTCCCAGCAACCCTGAAGATCTAAGTTCAAGCCTTAGGACACATGATGGAAAAAGAGAACAAAATTCATAATGTTGTCCTCACGACTGAGATATTTTTAGTCAATTCTTATAAAAGCCACAGAAAACTAAACCAAGTATTTTGACATTTTGGTGAATTAGGAAATATTCTTGTTTTCTAGGAAGCATAGAAGTTCTGAGGGTATCAATGGCATAATGCTAGAGGTTTGCTTTTGTTTTAAAATACTGCAGGAAGGGTAGGGAAGGTGAATCAGTCAGTAAAGTGTTTGTTGAACAAATAATGAAAAACTAAGTTCAGGCCAGGCTTGGTGCTGCACAGCCATAATCCCAGCACTTGGGAGGCAGAAGCAGGTGGATCACTATGAGTCCTAGGCCAACCTGGTCTACAGAGTGAGTTCCAGGACTGTCAAGGCATTACAGAGAGATCCTGTCTCGCTGCCCCCTCCAACAGAAAAAAGGAAAACAAAGTTCATATCCCCAGCACCCATATAAAGGGCTGGGCTCAGTTGTGCAGGCCTGTAATCCCAGTGCTTGAAAAGACACGAGAGGATCTTCAACTTCCTGGCAAGTCCATCTAGCTTATTGGTGAGCTCCAAGTTCAGTGACAGGCCACATCTCAAAAAAATAAGATTGTGGGGCTGGAAATATGGCTCAAAGGTTAAGAACACTGGCTGCTCTTCCAGAGGTCATTTTTTAAGAGCACTGGATGCAATAGAGATCCTGAGTTCAGTTCCCAGTAACTACATGGTGGCTCACAACCATCTATAATGAGATCTGGTGCCCTCTTCAGGCATAAAAACAAAAAAATTGTGCTGGGCCTCACTCAAGAGACAGAAACAGGTGAATCTCTGGGAGTTCAAGGTGAGCCTGGTCTATAAAGCGAGTTCCAGGACAGGAACTGTTACACAGTAAAACCCTATCTCAACTCCCCTCAAAATTTTTAAGATTGAGCGTGATTGAGGAAGCCACTCCACATAAACTTCCTCTGTATATAAACATGTACATGCCAAAATTGATCAAAGACCTCAACATAAACCCAGCCACACTAACCCTATTAGAAGACAAAGTGGGAAATACCCTTGAATTAATTGGTACAGGAGACTCCTTCCTGAACATTACACCAGTAGTACAGACACGGAGATCAACAATTGATAAATGGGACCTCCTGAAACTGAGAAGCTTCTGTAAGGCAAAGGACACAGTCAGCAAGACAAAACAGCAGCCCACAGACTGGGAAAAGATATTCACCAACCCGACATCTGACAGAGGGCTGATCGCCAAAATATGCAAAGAACTCAAGAATCTAGTCTCCAAAACACCAAACAATCCAATTAAAAAGTGGGGTACAGAACTAAATAGACAATTATCAATAGAGGGATCTAAAATGGCTGAAAGACACATAAGAAAGTATTCAACATCCTTAGCCATCAGGGAAATGCAAATCAAAACAACTCTGAGAGTTTTTTTTTTGTTGTTTTGTTTTGTTTTTCGAGACAGGGTTTCTCTGTGTAGCTTTGGAGCCTATCCTGGCACTTGCTCTGGAGACCAGGCTGGCCTCGAACTCACAGAGATCCGCCTGCCTCTGCTTCCTGAATGCTGGGATTAAAGGATTTCGCCACCAATGCCCAGCCCTGAGATACCATCTTACTCCTGTCAGAATGGCCAAAATCAAAAACACCAATGACAGTTTATGCTGGAGAGGATGTGGAGAAAGGGGAACACTCCTCCACTGCTGGTGGGAGTGCCAACTTGTACAGC